ACCTTACCAACCAATCAGCGACTGCTGCCCCTCTCTGCCAATCCCTCCACTGGCTTCCACTAAACCAATGTATAAAATTCAAAATACTAACCACAGTTTACAAAGCCATCCACAACACTGCCCCTAGCTACATCACCAACCTCATCCACAGATACCACCCAAATCGCCCACTCCGCTCCTCCCATGATATCCTCCTCTCTAGCTCCCTCATCACCTCCTCCCATGCTCAAAACAACTTATCCATGCCTTGGTTATATCCCACCTCGATTACTGCAACTCCCTCCTCACTGGACTTCTCCAGAGCCTCTCCCATCCTCTGGAACTCCCTACCACAGCATGTCCAGTCAGCCCCCACCCTGTCTGCCTTTAGGCGATCTTTGAAAACTCACTTCTTCAGGGAAGCCTACCCCACCTCCACCTAAGAACTGTACTTGAATCACCTCTGCCAGATCATCCTCCGCAGTTATCACCTTTTGTATCACCTCCCCCTTCCTTTAGATTGTAAGCTCCACGAGCCGGGCCCTCCTATTCCTTCTGTTCTGAAATGTATTGTAATTGTACTTTCTCCCTTATATTGTAAAGCGCTGCGTAAACTGTTGGCGCTATATAAATCCTGTATAATAATAATCTTGAAATACTTGCAGTTTCACAACCATCCGGTGATCAAGGAGAGGAGGACTTTACTGAGTAGCGTAGTTGTGTGTAATGGCCAGATGGGGTCACGACCACACAGAGAGAGGGGAAACAACCTTTATTCCCGGTACAAGTCCCAAACTGCAATGACAGTAGTTTAAAGGGATAGTCCACCTTATGGAAAAAAATAAATGCAGTCGGATAATTTAAAAAATGTGCAATTATTATTTTGCATTGGAGCCTGCAGAGAATTGCAACCACAATAAATCCATCGCAGGTACAATGCAAAGGTTTCTGTTGACTCTTCCCCCAGCCCCAGGTCCGTAAAGAAGTACAGACCAACCGTTACAGGGCGGAGCAAGTAATCAATGGACTATGACTGCGGTGATGTCACCGCACTTGTAAACTCCATTGTGATTGGTGTCCCTCTGCTGCAGTGGGAGATGGGACTTGTAGTCTTTCCATTCACAGATCTCTGTGAATGGATGAGGCAGCTGTGCAAATGGTACCACAAGCAGCCATACTGAAATCAAAGCAAAACGGTGTAGAGAGAAGTACACAATGATTCAGGTTACTAAAGGGGCTGTTTGAGGGTAGGGGTTTGGGGAATGGGCAGCACAGTGGCTAAATGGTTAGCCCTCCCGCCTGGCAGTACAAGAGTCGTTGGTTTGAATCCCAACCACGGCACCACCTGCCTGGAGTTTGCATGCTCTCCCTGTGCCTGTGTGTGTTTCCTCCGGGTACTCCGGTTTCCTCCCACACTCCAAGGACATGCTGGTAGGTTAATTGGATCCTGTCTAAATTGGCCCTAGTATGTACGAATGTAAGTTAGGGACCTGAGATTGTACGCCCCTTGAGGGTTAGGGACAGATGTGAATGTACAATATAGATGTAAAGTGCTACATAAATTGATGGCGCTATACAAGTACCTGTAATAATAATGTGACCACATTTCATGTTGCACTATGGGTGTAACATGAAATATGGTCCCCAAGCTGTACTAATGGCCATGGATGGATTGAAATTCAGCCAGTTGTCAACTATTGTATTCAGAAAGTTGTTACCTGTATAAATCAGAATAATAATGAGTGCAGTTGATTGGGAAAAAGACAGGCAAACAGTAACTGCAGCCAAAGTTTGTCATCCTGGGTGGTGTCAAGATGGCTACCCACAACTCGAATTTTAACCGATTCACAGGAATCAGCCACAATGCGAGCCATGTATGGCCAGCTTAAGGTGGTTAAGCAAAAGACCACTGGGCAGGGCTGATACCACTCAGCCCATTAAAATGCTGTTTTGCTGAGCCACAAAGTCAGCACAAGAAGCAAATGCACAAGCCTCATGCCTTAAATGATCATTTATTAGAGTAGAGCTTAAAAACATTTACATGTAAATACCTGAGCTTCTGCACATCAAAGGCAGGCAATCAAGGACGTCCAGAGGTCTCTTATAAAGTGGATCCCTCATTGCAAGGGTGCTACTGTCGGCAACTGCTTCTACCTCACAGCCCTGTAACTGGCAATGGTTTGTGGGGCTCCACTCCCTGATTGAGGTTACCCACCTGTGTTTTCAAAGCTGAACTCCAAGAACAAAGATTTGCATTCAAATGGGTTCCTCAGGATCTGAATACACTTTGTGTGCACCAAATGCCTTTCAAACCAAGATATTACCTTCTAAACGTAGCAGTGACATCATCACTGTCCTGTACATAGCCTGTGCAGGGAGTAGAGCTGTGGGAGGAACCCAGCAGGCTCCACCCACAATAGGCCACTTGCAGAAACTACAGGAGGGGCGGAGACAAGATCAGTCACCCTGCAGAAGAAGAGAGGGCAGCGTTGACCGGAGGAAGGAAATGTTTCACTCTGGATTACTGCACAGGTCTGGAAGAAATGAAGCACACCAACATTCAAGGAAGAACACACTATAGTTATTTATCCCAGAGTTCATCTTTAACCCCTTTGCACTGCCACCTCCCAGCCCTTTAAGAGTTTCAGAAGCCAGGTGGTGGGGCGGGGTTTTAGGGTCATGTGACCATGATTCTCTGTCACATGATCCGAAAAGGTCCTGATCGCAAGGGGAGATAGGGACCTTTCCGTGAGTCACGGACACATGTGCTAGGAGCGCGCAGGGCACGCGCTCTCAGCACATATGTATTTTCAAATGGTATGCAAATATGCAGCCACTCGGCGTCAAGGACCAGACACCAAGAGGCCACATATTTGCATGCACTCGGCATCTAGGGGTTAAAGGAAACGTTCACCTTTTGGACAAAAATAAAAAATCCACATTTTTTTGCAGGTTAAAAAAAAAAAAGTGCATTTATTATTTTTGTCTGCAGGAGCCTGGAAAGCATTGCACCAGTGATCAGTAGATCACTGGTGCCATGTAGGTCTCCTGCAGACCTGTCAGAATATCTGCTTGCTGTACGGGATGTACGAGCAAACAGATATTCTAACAGGAAGCTTCAGGGCCAGTTCGCACTATAAAAATTCATTCCGGATACGTTTTTGTTTACAGCACACACATCAGGTACAGTTTTCGATGCAGATTGCCATGTTCCAGTATGGTTCTGTGCAGAAAAATGCAACACGTTCTACTACTTTTTTTTTTATCTGCACAGGAAACTGACTGTACTAGTAATAACACACTGTGCATGCTTTTTTGATGCAGAAAAAAAAAAAGCGCACTGAACTGCATCTAGTGTGAACTAGCCCTCAATGAACTACTATGGCACGCCACAGTGCCATGGATAGTTCATTGAAAACTACAAGCCGACAGCTGCTAAGCTGCTGGGACTTGTAGGCACTCATTCACAGAACTGGGCATGGCTATGCTGTTTTCAAATCTGACAGATAGTACAGGGAAAATTATTCCCGTATTATCTGTCTGAGGAGGGGGGGGGGGGGGGGGGGGGATATGGAAACATGTTACATATTGCACCCTAAAAATGGGTGGAGCATGTAACATGCGCCAAAGGTGAACTTGTCCTTTAAACTTAAATCTGGCCATACATTACTTTATATGATATGGTTTTGGTAAATCCAAAGAAAAACTGTATATATCCTAGATTGTAAGCTCTGATGAGCCGGGCCCTCTGTTTCCTCTTGTATCCAAATTATATTGTAACTGTAATGTCTACCTTCATTTTGTAAAGCGTTGAGCAAACTTTCGTCGCTATATAAATCCTGAATGATAATAATGTGTGGTCAGCCTTACACCAATCAATCATTTTTCAATGCATGAGGCTTGGACCCTTTCTTCTTGTTTTGTGTCAGTGCCGGATCATCCTGATCTTCAGGAGCTGCATCCCAAAGTGTATTTCTATCATCTCCCTCCCTACCTGGAACTGTTCATTGTGGACTTTTAATGGACTACAATTTAAGAGTTTGAATATACTACATAATGCACTGCTATTTACTGTTTTTTATCTGCACTTACAGAGTCTTTAAAGAAATAAATCATGGGGAAATATGCATATGTTGCAGAGATAAACTTTTTTTTTTTGGCCCCAACTTTACACTTTAAAAAAAAAATTGCTTTTAGTTGTACTTTAGAGTGGATATGGATTACAACCCCTGTCAGTTTTTATTGCTGTCTGTGCCCCCATTAAAAAGATTCCCCCTCTCTATTTGTCCTCTTTACCTTTATTGTTTAAAGTGAAAGTAAAAGAAAACCCCAAATTTTGGGTTGTCCCCAGAAAAGTAATAAAGGAAAAAGGTTCCAATGGGGACCTGGTGACCTGGGGGGGCCCCAAGAGATCGCCTTAATTTGCAGGGATTTTCTTTCACTTCCTGTTTGGCTGTAGGACATCTCCAGAAATGGGAGACAGATAGCAAAAAATAAACTGACAGGGATTATAACCCTCCCTTACTCTGTCCAAAATGGAAAAAAAAAGTTAACCTGTAGTTTGACTTTAATTACTACTCCTCACCTAAGGTCTCCTCTTCCCTCCTGTCTTTGTACTGCAGCCCTGCCTACTCTTGCCTTCTTTCCATACATTGATGGCTTGTGTCATAGCTCTTCATGCTGCCAATGGGAGTGTTCTTAACCACTTGCCTACTGGGCACTTATACCCCCTTCTTTACCAGGCCAATTTTCAGCTTTCAGCGCTGTCACACTTTGATTGACAATTGTGCAGTCATGCAAGGTTGTACTCATATAAACTTTTTATCATTTTTTTCTCACAAATAGAGCTTTCTTTTAGTGGTATTTAGTCGCCGCTGGGCGCTTTACTCTTTGCGCTATAAACAAAAAAGTTGAAAAAAAAATTTAAAAAAAAAATTTTCTTTGTTTCTATTATAAAATTTTTCAAACAGGTAATTTTTCTCCTTCACTGATGTGCGTTGATGAGGCAGCACAGATGGGCACTGATAGGCGGCACTGATAGGCAGCACTGAGGTGGCATGGATAGGCGGCACTGATAGGCAGCACTGATGATGGGTACTGATAGACAGCACTGACTGGCAGCACTGCTCGGCATTGACTGGCACAACCGCTGGGCACTGACTGGTGGCACTGACTGGCAGCACTGCATTGATGGGCACTGGTGGGTGGCACTACTGGGTGGCACTGCTGGGCACAGGTGGGTGCACTGCTGGGTACAGGTAGGCAGAACTCATGGGTGGCACTGCTGGGCACCACTCATCAGGGCACTGATCATCAGTGCCAATCCCTGCTCTGACAACTGCCGGTTCTCGGCAGTACTTTCCTCACGCTCTGACAGTGTGAGGAAAGTGCAGCCGAGAACCAGCAATTGCATTTCCCTGTGATCAGCGTGTCATTGGACACAGCTGATCATGTGGTAAAAGGCCGATGTGATTGGCCTTTTACCACATCACGTGATCAGCTGTGTCCGTAGGACACAACGATCACGGAGATCGCCGGGTGTGTGCCCCCAGGGGCGTGCAGGAGAGTGCGTTCTGGGAGGACGTCATATGACGCCCTCCCAGAACTGGCCGGCCGCAGTGTAGCCGTCATTCGGCTATCTGCGGTTGGCAAGTAGTTAAATCAAGCCTTGTACTGTGACAGAGGCTAGCCTGTACCCAGAAGCGTGAAGGTGCCGCATACATACTATACCATTGTATACTGGCTCTGCACAACAAACCTTTTATTTCAGGAGGCAAACACACCGGGCAGCACAGTGGTTTGGTGGTTAGCACGTCTGCCTTGCAGCGCTGGGGCCATCAATTTGAATCCTGGCCCAGGACACTACCTGCGCAGAGCTTGTATGGGTTTCCTCCTACACTCCATAGACATACTCATGGGTTTGGCTCCAATTTAAACTGGTCCTAGTATGTACAGTATTTATGCATGTGAGACAGGAACCTGGGATGGTGAGCTCCTTGAGGGCAGAGACTGATAAATGTACTTTTTTTTTTTTAAATCGCTGCATAAATTGTCAGAATTATATCAATATCACTGATCACACTATATCCAATAATACTAGATCAGGTTCAGTGTTGGGACCCTTACTTTTTAATATATTTATAAACAATATAGAGTCTGGCAATAAAAATCCCATTTCAGTCTTTGCAGAGGACAGCAAGCTGTGCCGTGGAATAACGTCCTCACAGGATGTCTCCAATTTACAAGCCGACCTCAGTGCTCTGTTTAATTGGGCAACTATGTGGCAAATGAGGTTTAATGTTGATAAATGTAAGGTTCTGCACTTGGGGGCTAAGAATATGCATGCATCATATATACTAGGGGGGGGTACAACTGGGGGGGTCAATGGTGGAGAAGGATCTGGGGGTTCTGGTAGATCACAAGCTTAATAATGACATGCAACGCCAAGCTGTGGTTCTAAAGCGAACAAAATCCTCTCTTGTATTAAAAGAGGTATAGAGTCCAGAGAGAGAGATATCATTTCCCCCGGTACAAATCATTAATATACCTCATCTGGAATATGCAGTTCAGTTTTGGGCTCCAATTCACAAAAAAAACATTGGGGAACTGGAGAAAGTACAGAGAAGGGCAACCAAACTGATAAGAGGCATGGAGGAGCTCAGCTATGAAGAAAGATTAGAGGAACTGAATGTATTCTTTCTTGAGAAGGGGATATTAAGGGGGGATATGATCTCATGTATAATACATAAGGGGGGATATGATCTCCATGTATAATACATAAGGGGGGGATATGATCTCCATGTATAATACATAAGGTGGGATATGAGCTTCATGTATAATACATAAGGGGGGATATGATCTCCATGTATAATACATAAGGGGGGGGATATGACCTCCATGTATAATACATAAGGGGGGATATGATCAACATGTATAATACATAAGGGGGGGATATGATCAACATGTATAATACATAAGGGGGGATATGATCAACATGTATAATACATAAGGGGGATATGATCTCCATGTATAATACATAAGGGGGATATGATCTCCATGTATAATGCATAAGGGGGGATATGATCTCCATGTATAATACATAAGGGGGGGGGATATGATCTCCATGTATAATACATAAGGGGGGGTATGATCTCCATGTATAATACATAAGGGGGGATATGATCTCCATGTATAATACATAAGGGGGGGATATGATCTCCATGTATAATACATAAGGGGGATATGATCTCCATGTATAATACATAAGGGGGATATGATCTCCATGTATAATACATAAGGGGGATATGATCACCATGTATAATACATAAGGGGGGATATGATCTCCATGTATAATACATAAGGGGGGATATGATCTCCATGTATAATACATAAGGGGGGTATGATCTCCATGTATAATACATAAGGGGGATATGATCTCCATGTATAATACATAAGGGGGATATGATCTCCATGTATAATACATAAGGGGGATATGATCACCATGTATAATACATAAGGGGGGATATGATCTCCATGTATAATACATAAGGGGGGGATATGATCTCCATGTATAATACATAAGGGGGGATATGATCTCCATGTATAATACATAAGGGGGGATATGATCACCATGTATAATACATAAGGGGGATATGATCACCATGTATAATACATAAGGGGGGATATGATCTTCATGTATAATACATAAGGGGGGATATGATCTTCCATGTATAATACATAAGGGGGGATATGATCTCATGTATAATACATAAGGGGGGTATGATCTCCATGTATAATACATAAGGGGGGGATATGACCTCCATGTATAATACATAAGGGGGGATATGACCTCCATGTATAATACATAAGGGGGATATGATCTTCATGTATAATACATAAGGGGGGATATGATCACCATGTATAATACATAAGGGGGGATATGATCACCATGTATAATACATAAGGGGGGGGATATGATCTCCATGTATAATACATAAGGGGGATATGATCACCATGTATAATACATAAGGGGGGGATATGATCTCCATGTATAATACATAAGGGGGGATATGATCTCCATGTATTATACATAAGGGGGGATATGATCTCCATGTATAATACATAAGGGGGATATGATCTCCATGTATAATACATAAGGGGGGATATGATCTCCACGTATAATACATAAGGGGGGGGATATGATCACCGTAATCCTGAAGACATTGTAGGCTGATTACCACAGTGTAGAGTTATTCACCCTGAGGACAAGGGGGCACAGAGGACAAGGGGGCACTCTTTATGTCTGGAGGAAAAGAAATGTAATCTCCAAACACGGAAAGGTTTCTTCACAGTGAGAGCTGTGAAAATGTGGAATAGACTCCCTCAAGAGTTGGTTCTGGCCAGCTCAGTTGATTGCTTGAAAAAAGTCCTGGATTCTTTTCTAGATACACAGAATATAACTGGATACTAACATTTATAGGTAAAGTTGATCCAGAAAATATCCGATAGCCTCTCGGGAGATCAGGAAGGATTTTTTCCCCTGCAGGTGAAAATTGGTTCATGCTATGCTGGGGGGGGGGGGGGGGGGGGTTTGCCTTACCCTGGATCAACTAGGTATAGGATTATAACTTTTTTTTTTTTTTTAATGGTTGAACTGGATGGACTTTTGTCTTTTTTTCAGCCAGACTGACTATATGTAACTATGTCAATACCTGTAATAATAAAAGATACCCTGTTCAAAGTGCTGTAATACAGAGCAACCATTTAGAATTCTTATGTCAATCTGTATTCTGTTACCTGAAATCTGCTGGCTGCTGTTGGTAACTGCATCTTACACTCCATTTGTTCCCTTTTCACAACCTCTGCTTTTTCAGTAAATTGTATTCCATTATTTGAAGTGTAGAAGAAAAGGGTCACTATAAGGCTTGTTTCACACAGGTCTCACCTTGTATAAAAGCACTGTGAACCACAAGCTTTTATGATGCTTTCAGCAAGCTTCTAGCAGCTTTCTCTAAGCCTTTAAAGTGCCCTTCAGCTCCTGTTTGGAAATATTATATATGGATCCTAATGGGAGTGCTGATGGTCACTTTAAACAAGTTGCTAGCAGGCTTTCAACAAGCTTCAAGTAGTGCTGAAGCCTTCTAGCAGCTTGTTTAAAGTGCAAAATCAAAAAATAAAACCACTGCTCTTGTGTAGCTTGAAAAAACTTTTGTTTTCAATGGTAGCTGCTGTTATAATGTGTCTAAAACACTTACCTCAGGAATATATCAACGTAAACACTGTGTAATCAATCATATATAAATGAATATAAAGAAGGCCACACTAAAAAAAGGTGTGCTAAATGTGCCACTCCAAACGACATCCAATCAAGTGCGGTAAGTAATTCAAATAAAGTGCATTGCAATTGCATTCCTCCAGATACTCTCACTGTGACCCCGTACAAAAAAATTAAAGTGTTACTACTAAACCCACAACAGTAAAAATCAGTCTGTATATGCAGTAAAACATGCTTGCTATACTCACTGTGGAACCTAAGGGGATATTCTTCTGTATTGTGTAAAAAGGCTGTTTGATCCAGTCTTCTCTGATTCTCCCCTTCTTCTACTGTCCCCAATCCATCTGCTGATAGAACAGAGCCTTGGGAGAAAGGTGCACATGCTCAGTTTGGTTTGTATCACTAGTTTTTTTTTTTTTTTTTTTGTTGGAAGAGTGCATGTGATCAGCATAGGGTCAATCAGCACTGTCCAGAGGGTCAGGGGTTATGCAGCTTCATAGGATAATCAGGGGAGAATGAAAACTCCTCCTACAAGCTTTAACCAGTGCTTTGCTGGACACTGATAGTGTCTTGTGAAGTCACAAGACTGCTCTAACTGCTGATATTTAGCAGTTTATATTTACTAAAATAATTGCATTTCCATGTTCTGTGTACTGTGAGAAACCAGATATAGTGAATGTAGGGTGTCGCTTCAGGCTCTAATAGGTCCTTATATGCTGAGAACCACTGAGAGTGCTGGCAGGGAAAGCGCTTTCTCAGCTCCATAGAAGTCAATGAGGAAGGAAAAGAAGTCGCACACCACACAAAACCCTTGTGTGAACAGTGGAAGCAGTCTCAGCCTAGACTGTCCAAGCCACATCCCTGACATGTTCCACTCAGCCCCTATGACTACACCCTGTGGGCGGGGCAAAACATGTCAGAGTGCCCTAGATAACCACCACACTTATTGGATTGTTCTGACCCCTTGTATTAGTTTGGGGTTTGAACGCTAGATGGCGCTATACACAGTATTGTGTGGGTGCTTGACATTGGGTGCTATTGACATTAATGCCCAATTGCCAGTAAATATGGATCAGAAAGTGGCACATAATAGGCTGTTATGATTGTAATTGTTTAGAGTAATAAAATGGCGAATTGGGTGCAGAAGACAGTTTTCTGTTCATATGGTCGGACACAGCAACCGGAAGCCCTTTCTCCTGAAGACATTGCAGACTGATGATGACACACGTAGGCTGGGCTGATGTTATATCCACAGAAGCATGATGGCCATATTAGATCCTGGCTTTTCCTTTGCATACACGCAGTTGTGATGTTTTATGTAAGTGCATGACTATTCACCCTGAGGTCATCACAGAGGACAAGGGGGCACTCTTTACGTCTGGAGGAAAAGAAATGTAATCTCCAAACCCCTGGAAAGGTTTCTTCACAGTGAGAGCTGTGAAAATGTGGAATAGACTCCCTCAAGAGTTGGTTCTGGCCCTCTCAGTAGATTGCTTCAAAAAAGTCCTGGATTGTTTCTTGGATACACAGAATATAACTGGATACTAACATTTATAGGTAAAGTTGATCCAGGGAATATCGGATTGCCTCTCATGGCAATCAGGAAGGAATTTTTTTCCCAGCAGGAGCAAATTGGATCATGCTTTACTGGGTTTCCTTTTTGCCTTCCTCTGGATCAACTGTGGGTGTAGGATTATAACTTTTTTTTTTTTTCTATGGTTGAACTGGATGGACTTTTGTCTTTTTTCAGCCAGACTATGTAACTATGTCTTTAATTTAAAAAAGCATTCTACACTATATGGGGCTCTCCTCACCCTCCTTGTATGATGGCTTTGAGATACCTTCCTGGGACAAGCGAAGACACAGCAGAGAAGATTTCTACGAGCTGGATGATGATTAAGGGTCTGAAGTACTCTGATCACTAGACCACCTTAGGCGCTGATTGATTCACTTGGTAATACGAGTCAAAACAATCCGGTGAGTGTGCTGTGTATCTGGGGCACCAACAGGGTTGCCACCTTATCCCTTTAAAACCTAACATATTAAATTACCCAGGTTCTGTGGCTGATTAAGGTGGTATTTAAACTCACTTGGTACCTTATCTGCATTAAATTATCCTCTGAACCTGTGTTAATTATTGTGTTCAGTTTTAAGGCCTAGTTCATACCTATATGTTTATGAGTGTCTTTTGCAGAAACTCACTACAGTCCATTTAACATGGTTTCCTATGGGACACATTCACATCTATGAATTGTTGGATAGGGTCCATGACTTATTTTTTTCCCGCAGCAGATTGCAACACAGGTGTGAATCAGGCCTAAAGGGATGAGGTGGCAACCCCAGGCACCAAGGGTCTATCTAGAGGTATCCCATAACAGGGCACTTTTATTTGACCTACTTGACTGGGTCACTTTAGCACGATTTGAACTTTTTTTATACACTTTTTATAAGTGATGGGGCAGCACACTGGCTAAATGGTTAGCATTTCCGCCTGGCAGTACTAGGGATCGTTGGTTCGAATCCCAACCACGGCACCACCTGCCTGGAGTTTGCATGTTCTTTCTGTGCCTGCGTGGGTTTCCTCCGGGGTACTCCGGTTTCCTCCTACACTCCAAAGACATGCTGGTAGGTGAATTGGCTCCTGTCTAAATTGGCCCTAGTATGTGTATGTATGAATGTGAGTTAGGGACCTTAGATTGTACGCCCCTTGAGGGTTAGGGACTGATGTGAATGTACAATATATATGTAAAGCGCTGCGTAAATTGACGGCGCTATATAAGTACCTGAAATAAATAAATTACACTTTGTTTACATGAATAGATTGTCTGAAGAGCAGCTCTGCTTCAAAAAAAAAAAAAAAAAATTTTTTGGCTTTTTTATACAGATTTTTAAAGTACCAATATATTTAGGAGTAGTTAGTGGAAATTCAGTCTTTCAATCAACATTGACCTTTTTCTTTTCTTTATTCTAATGCTGATAGCTTCAATAGATAGATAGGAACTTAAATCATATTTGCTTGCTTTAAGCCTCTTTTTTCTTTTAATTTCTTCAGTTGCTTCCTGGTTTTCAGACCTAGGCAGATGATGTCATAAATGCCAGGAGTCTTCAGGAAGGGTTTTCTTAGGTAAGCACACCTTCTTGCCTGCATGCTTGAGCTAAGGGCAGATGGATTCACGGAAGTACCTGCTACATGAATCGTCTGCCCTTACTCAAGATGGTTACAGCCAGAAATGCTAGAGGGGAGTTTTTCAAAGTGATTGCTCAGCAAAATAAAGCATGGAGACATGGATGGATGGGGGAGTTCGCGGAGAATTATAAAGAGCATTTTTGGTTTGTGGTGCTCAGATGCAGTGCAGTTCAGTTTTAGGTTCTCTTCCACTGTAAGAGAATAAACACACGAGGATAGGTTTGACTTTTAGTTTATATGGCAGGTTTGCTTTAAGGGACTTCGGATATGAAGTGTGCACAGAAAAAAAAAAAAAAAAAAAGAAAGCAGGTGATGTTGACATGCAGATGTCGCCATGTTTGCACATTTCTTATGAGCTGAAAAAAAAAAAAAAAAAAAAAAACCAAACACATAGGACTGTCCAAAGCCACTAGTAAAAGGTAAATAACTAGAGGGTTTAATTAAAATATGCATTTCAACAACATGTTATACTGAAAGGACATAATTAAAGCAGATTTCAACAGCGAAGGCTTGTCCGTGCGGCATCAGCAAAATGGGTAGCACACCACACCGCTCCGAATAGATACCTCTGATCTGTAGCTCCAGTGACTCACATGCTGTTCCTGACTTTTTAGTAGACTTGATTCACAAAGTACCAATCTGAATGTTTCCCAAGTGTATATTCTCCACCTGCAAAGTCTCAAACTGGATATCCTGTACATTTATGGCGCTGCCTTCTGGGAAAATTTCTACAGTCTCTATAATGGGAATGGTTTCTACAGTCTCTACTATTGCCACAGTGTTAGAGAGGTCAGTGGCATGGGCCTCTTGATCCTGCAGCGGTACAGCCTGCTCGCGGTGCAATTTCCGGTGCTTCCAAAGGTTGGAAAAGGAACGATACGCACGTCCACATTCTGGGCAGGCGTGGGGTCGCTCACCTGTATGAATACGCTTGTGCTCAGCTAGACGCACTGCAATGGTGAAAGCTTTGCCACAAACATCACATTTGAAGGGTTTCTCCCCCGTGTGAAGGCGGATGTGGTCCTTGAGGTGGGTGGATTGGCGGAAGGCTTTGCCGCAAACTTGACATGGGTAAGGCCGCTCCCCAGTATGAATTCGGCGGTGAACTTGCAAAGATGTTTCTGTGCTGAAGGTCTTATGGCAGTCCAGGCACTCCTGGCTTCTGGGGCTTACCTTTGGTTTATTCCGTGCTGGCAGGGGTTGTTTACTCTTACCTGGGCACCCAGCACTTCCTGTGCTACCATGCTGAGTTGAAATGTGGGCATTAAGCTGAGCATCAGAATTCATTTTCTTACCACAAACTGGGCACTCCAACTTATCTCCCGGTCCAACTCCAGTCCGGTTACAACGATGATCTTTTAAACGCTGAGAAGATGGGTAACTGGCACCACAGTCTGCACATCTGAAAGGCTGTTCACCACGGTGGCTAAGTTCATGGACCTCCAGTAATCTCTTGAGCAGGAAAGAAAGGCCACAAACTTGGCACTTGTAGGGGTATTCCCCGGTATGGTGATATTGGTGCATGAGGAGGCGGTAAGGACGGTGAAAGCTAACCCCGCACTCTGTGCATTTGTATGGGTAGGTTTGGCTGTGCACGACCAGATGCTGCTGGAGTGTTGAAGACTGGCTGAATGCCTTGCCACACAGCTGACACTTGTGTGGCTTCTCCCCTGTATGTGTAAGCTTGTGCCGGAGCAGATTGGCCTGAGCGTTGAACGATTTACTGCAGACGCTGCAAGAAAACGGCCGCTCCCCTGTATGAGTCAGCATGTGGTTGCGAAGATGTGAGCGCTTCTTAAACGGCTTGCTGCAAGTCGGGCATTTGTGCCTTTTTTCCATTGCATGCACAAAACGCTGGTGGCGCAACAGCTGAGACATCAGAGGAAATGATTTACCGCAAGTTGAGCACACAAAGCCCCCGGCAGTACTGGGGAAAGTGTTGTCTGATTTCTTTTCTTCCTCTTGTACAGGTTCTTGAGTTTTGGTGCTGTGCATTCGGCGGTGGTACAGAAATTTTGTCATGTTGATAAAGGTCTGGCCACATTCACAGGAGTACAGAGGGTTGGTCTGGTGGGTCCGGCGATGATTAACCAGGACAGATTCACTGGCGAAGCCCAAGCCACAGTCCACACAAAGAAAATGATGCTCACCTTGATGTGACTTAAGGTGCTCTTCTACCTCTGGGTGTGTAGGGAACACTTTACTACATAGAGGACAGTTAAAGGGACCGGTCTTATGAGATAACAAGTGTGTTTTAAGTTCTTTGTCGCTCTTAAAAGATGCTTTACATGTAGCACAAGACAGTGTAGCATTGTTCAGAGCCAGTACTTGTTTCACTACTGGAGGAGCTGCGACACCTCCACTCTTCTGTCCAGAATGGTGAGGGGGGAGGGGGAGCACTCTCTTTTACTAGCTGTTCAACTATCTGTTCATTAGCCAAAGGCTGTGCTGCCACATTTGACTGACTGCTAGCCTCTGGGGTATTATCCTGGCCTTGAAAATGGGTGGCTTGGTGCTCCAGGAACTCCCCGGGAGATTGGAAAAGCTGAGTGCACTCAGAACACTTATAAAACAAAACTTCCACCGCACACTCCTCCGCTACACCCTCATTCTTTTTATAGGAATGCTCCAGGTCCACCAACACTTGTGTATGGGAGACTGCAGCGGGTGATGAGGTTGGGACATGAAAATGCTGCGGACCGGCAACAAGGTGGACCTCACCAGGTGTAGAAGGGTCACACATGAGCTGTATAGAGTCCTCCACAACGTGGTCCTCTGTCTGTAACAGCACCTTGGACTGTGGCACATTTTGGGGTTCCATGTGAGTGTATCTATGGGCCAGCCACATATCCTGGCTGTTGAACAAAGCTTTGCATTCCTGGCATTCATAGTGAATTTCACTGCGAGATGTGCGTTTGGCTTTTAGGCTTTCTGGCTTTGGAGGATTTTGGAGTAACCTTATATGCATTTCTTGGTGGGCAAGCAAGTCACCTGGTGTCAGCAGCAGCTGTCCACATTCTAGGCATTGGTACTGGTTCTCATGGGAGCCAAGGTCCAGGACCTGGTATTGGGCTTCTGGTACAGGACCTGTATGGCTTTGTTGGTGCACAACAGCATCTTCCAAGTTGGGGAACTCCACTCCACACTCTGAGCACACATAACGGTGCTCTATAAACAGGACAGTTTCTTCTGACTCCGTCATTGCAGCATCTCCACTCATCCAGATCCAAGACTTAACTGCCAAGAGAAAATTACTGTCATTTCAATACATCCCGTACCCAGCCACACACAAAACTAACAAGTATCATGAGGTGTTGCAGTTAATGCATCAGTCCTCCCCTGTAAGTGAAAAATCTCTCGGGGACTCTATTGATCTCTGTTCTCTAAAGATCTATGTAATAAGTTTCTAGATCTGACATCTGCTGTGGGCATTATGAGGGGCTCCAACTCTCCCTGCTGATTTTCCATTTATTTGATGTTGTAGAGGATGGAACATGAAGAGCTGGAACACGCAATAGTGGCTGAAATAACCAGGACTCCCAGGTGCACAGAAAGTATGGCAGGGAGATTTCACTGCAGCAACAGGAAAATAGAAGTATCCGACACGCAAAAGTGTCAGGCGGTTCTCATTTTTGAGGTGCCTATAACTGAACAGGTGAAGCCCAACTCTGGCAATGACCTTTGGAGCAGCCCCCCACCCCCATTAACACTGCAAGGGTTAAATGCTCAACATGTTTAGGGGTGGAGGATTAAGATGCAATACTTGTATTTTGCTGCAGGAAGCTTTCACACTTTCCTATTCTCCCCGATGCTAGAGGCTGTGTATGGTCCCCTCTGTGTCCTCATGTACAATGCAGGACTACTGATCCCGCAGTTTACTTAATGATGTCAGCATGCAACTGGAGTGTCTTTGAAAAGGAGCTTCAGGGGAACCATTCACAGAGATGGAGAAAGCCTGCAAGTATTACACCTCATTCCTCATCCCCTAGACTTAACATGCTGCAGCAGCACATGGTAGTGCACCACGCAGTGTCTGATGCATTGATGTAAGAGCCTATTCATTTGATTGAACTGCCTAATGCAATGTGTCTCAATGCACAAAATGTGTTGATTTGAATGGGCCCCAATTACAGCTGTGTTAATTGTTAAAATGACAGCATTAGGTATTATGACTGGGTCTCTTTAAAACATTCAGTTAAACTAAACCTATCTTGGCAGGAAATCCTACTAAACAAAATGCCAGGTTTCACGTGATCTGGCACCTGCACAGCCCTTTAGATAGCAGTTGGAGCACCAACAAACCTCAACATCGTTTTAAAAATTTTCACTTAATATCAGCAAATCAATTCTCTTTAGCAGGGAACTACAGCAGGGGGCTACTACCAGAGAAACATACAGCGATGGTCAACTTTCTTGATATGGGGGGCCTCAAAGGCGGCCTTCAACACCACCAAAGGGCCGCACATAAAATTCAGTGAATATTCAGTGTCAAAAACAGAAGACACCAGGATATAGTCAATGACTGCGGACATGATATAAGAGATGGCCAGACTTCAGATATAACAAAAGAGATGGAAAGAAAATGCAACAGAATACACGAGACGGTCAGAGACTGCAGACGTGATACACGAGACGGTCAGAGACTGCAGACGTGATACACGAGACGGTCAGAGAATGCAGACGTGATACACGAGACGGTGAGAGACTGCAGACGTGATACACGAGACGGTCAGAGACTGCAGACGTGATACACGAGACGGTCAGAGACTGCAGACGTGATACACGAGACGGTCAGAGACTGCAGACGTGATACACGAGACGGTCAGAGACTGCAGACGTGATACACGAGACGGTCAGAGACTGCAGACGTGATACACGAGACGGTCAGAGACTGCAGACGTGATACACGAGACGGTCAGAGAATGCAGACGTGATACAAGAGACGGTCAGAGAATGCAGACGTGATACAAGAGACGGTCAGAGAGCAGACTGATACAGACGGTGATAATGCAAGAGATACAAGAGACGGTCAGAGAATGCAGACGTGATACAAGAGATGGTCAGAGAATGCAGACATGCTGCTGAAGACTGAAAGACTGTAAACATGCTATAGGGATTGTTGGAGATCAGAGACATGCTTCAGGAGACAGTCAAAGACTGGAGAAATATTACACGTTACACAAAAAGTTGTAAAGGGGTGCATGTTGTCTCCAGGCCATAAAATGGACACCATGGATATAGAGTGAGCAGGATAATCCACTGGACAGTGGCCACCCATAGATGAAAATCACTTCTGGATGAAACTTCCAGATTCCGCTACCAATGATTTCTTCTTTAAGAAAACAGCCAAGACAGATTTGTAAGCGCAATATCACTTGCATCGCATACTACAAATCTCACGGATGTCTGTGCTGTTTTAGGACTGCCCTGTGTAGTGTAACAGTATAGAAGTAACACTAGATGCAACAAACAGTTCTACCATATGCATGTCAATGTCCTGATAAATGAAATTACTCTAAAAAAAAGGTCTTCTGAGTCCAACTAATGCAGATATGAGAGTATCACCTACCTGACTTCAATCCGGGCTAATCAAGGAGGCTGATCAAGGAGGCTAACCAAGGAGGCTCATCAATGAGGTGGTGTGTTCATAAAAGTAACCTACAAAAAGTATAACTTCAGGTTAGATATTGTATAATAATAATCATAAGCTGAGACATTGACAGCACATTCGTCCTCATATCAGCACAAGGCATCTCCTCAACTACCAATATGAATAGATAGATTATTAAACATTTGTGATTATAATGATTCCAACTTAAAAGTCCTTGATGTGTGATTATATCCACGCCTCTATGATTAATTCCCAAACAGGTGCTCTTTATTGCTTATATCCACATATATTCCTATAGGTGCTCCTCCACCAGAGACGTATATACTCTCACCTCCTTATATGACCCAAATTGCATAACTCAAATACCGCCTTTCCCCTTTAACCCGAGTAGGTATACTGTATGGATGGCTCCACTTTCCTCCTCACTCTGCTGCAAACGGTCTCATCTCCTCTTTATCCCACAAATCCTCCGCATATGTAAACAGAAACGCTTGCCATAGTGTAGTACTTAAATATAGTGTGATTTATTAAAAAACAAAGTGCACTCACATGTAAAAGTGTCCTGCTGGGACAAAACAGTAAAAAAATCCTTGTTACAATGTAATTCCAATGTGTTCAGGAATTTCCAAGATGGCGGCTCGTTAACTCGTATAGGGTGGGCCGATGACGTCAAGCCGCTAAACCGGAAGTTCACGAGCCGCCATCTTGGAAATTCTTGAACACATTGTAACAAGTTTTTAATACTGTGTTGTCCCAGCAGGACACTTTTAAATGTGAGTGCATTTTGTTTTTTTTAATAAATGACACTATATTTAAGTACTACACTATGGCAAGCGTTTGTTTACATGTGGAGGATGTGGAGGATATGTGGGATAAAGAGGAGACGAGACCGTTTGCAGCAGAGTGAGGAGGAAAGTGGAGCCAGCCATACAGTATACCTACCCGGGTTAAAAGGGAAAGGCGGTATTTGAGTTAGGCAATTTGGGTCATATAAGGAGGTGAGAGTATATATATATATATATATATAATATATATATATATCTCTGGTGGAGGAGCACCTATAGGAATATATGTGGCTATAAGCAATAAAGAGCACCTGTTTGGGAATTAATCATAGAGGCGCGGATATAATCACACATCAAAGACTTTTAAGTTGGAA